GGGGCCCTGGCGGGAAGGGAACTGGGTGGGACAGCGCTGTCCGCCGGGCTGAGGGTCTCGGGAGCGGGGGACACGGACCCCAGCCCAGCCCCACTTACCCGGCACAGCCAGGAGCAGGACCCCGAGCAGTCCTGGGCGGCTCATGGCGCTGGCGGGATGAAGGGAGGAGACAGGGGCAGAGGGTGAGCGTGTCCCTGGTATGGGGGCTCCAGTTGAGGTGCCGGGCGGGGGTAGACCAGCACAGTGCGTGTCTACGCCAGTGCCCTGGCTGAAGATCCCAGATGGGGCACTGCAGCAACCGGCTTACTTATATATCTCAGCACCTCGGAAATGGCGTCAGGAGGAAGCCGCCTCCTCCTCGCTCCTCCCTCCCCTCGCACACAGCTCTCCCGTCAGCCTCCGACACTCGCCTGGTGTTGGAGGAGCGGCCGCAAGACAGGATCCTCCCGATCCCCCTCGATCCCCCCGGCTGCCGGGGCAAAGGGTTCCAGCAGCAAGATGTCAGGCTCCAGTTGCTCCACCTTCTCACACTCAGCAGGTGCAGGAAGGTTGTGAGGTGTGTTTCCAGGATATCGCTTTTCCAGTCCCTTAGCCAACACTGGCAATCTACAAGCACCTCTGCATATGTGCTCTCTCTGTATGTGCCAGTAGTCAACAGTGAGAGCCCCCTCGTGTATCCCAGCCAGTACAGCCACCTGTAGGTGGGTTTGCCCCCTAGGGGTGCCCTTGTCTTTCACTAACCACAGAAAGTACCTAGGCAAACAGTTTAGAACAGATGCTGAAGTTTTTAGATGCCTCCACAGAGGATAAGAGTGCCTGTAAGACTGGTCAAGAACCAGAGAACTGGTCACTGTGAAATGGGTTTGCCAATGGAGATGATAAGTCCCAGCTATTTTATGAAAGATTTTTAAGTAGTAGGCTAGCATTTGGGGTAAATAGCAAAGGCTGGTGGGTCTGCTGCTCATCTATTGAGACTTTTCAAGCAAATTTTAATAGGTTGCTATCCTTTGTTCAGTGGTTCATAACAACCTATCGCATCACACTACCTCCTCACTGCCAAGCATTTCAAAGTTAAGTAACCAAGATCACCTGGTCACTAGTTTCCATCAACAAGTGAGAGAGAGGAAGTAACAAATTGTACCATTCTCTTAGTCACAAGCATTTCCATGCTCTTGACAAAATGGCTATCTGTTCTTTGGATGGAGCATCTGTCGGGTCAGACAGCTGGATTCTCTTTTGAAAGTGACTCTACTGCTTCTTTAGGACAAAGCTCCTTTAGGAATAGCACCTCTTTCATTCTGTACTATTCTTCAAGCAATTTCAGAGGTCACAAAAGCCAGGGGCTTATACTAGAGAACCAAATTCAGAAAAATACACTGTCCTCCTTCCCAACCCTACCTTATTCTGCTCAGTGGGGAGTACTGCACCCAAGGAGCTGGAGAGAACGTATGTGTTCTAAGATGACAAGAACTTATCTATAAGACCAGGGGGTACAGATTGCACTATAAGGTTCCACCTTCTCTTTCCATATGCACATGGAAATATCTTCTCAAAGGTATACTCCCAAATGTCCTTTAATAGCTATCTGATTTAAATGCATACTTCAAAAGGCATATTTGGATTGTAAAAGCCCACTCATACAAAATCAAAGCTCACTTTGTCTGATGCATATTCTATTTAGCATAGAAAATCTGGAAATATATTTATCCCCTGAATAATACTTTGTGTATGACATTGATTGACAGTTAAATGTTTATAAGACCATGAAATTAACATCCATGACAGTTCTTGTTGCATGGAACAATGGATATCCTTTCTTTTTGCTTCCTGAGTTGAGAGGGGTGTTTTGTGGGTGTGTCATTGAATTATTTATCTGGGGGGGCTTGGGGGTGGGGGGGGGGTCATTGTTTTTTCTCTTTCAGGATACACCAGAGCATTTTAGTCTCTGAGTCTGGAATACTGAACATTATTAAGCTTGTTAATACCCATGTACTCCTAAGAGAGAACCAGATTTATCTGCTTATCAGGCTATGTTTACCTAGTCAATATTTAGTTATCCTTACATATAACTGTTGATCTTATTAGGGCAATAAATTATCTCAGTTCTAATCCAGTTTCTTAAATGAAGCCCTTTCCTTCCTTGGGAACTCTTTTTGAGAAATGTGGCAGGATATGTAGCGCCCATGACTGTATTTTTTTCTCTTTCTCAAGCTGTGATCTTGCATCCATTAAGTTCATTGTAAAGGAGAAACTAAATGTTTTCCTGGTATGGCATGCATTCTCCCACCATAGTAGCATGTAATGGATGGTGATGGATGGTGAATTTTTCTATTTCTTGCCCCAGAAAAAAGGATATGAAACTGTTAATCCAGCAATCAGTACTTCTGCTATTGGAATTTGTCTCATTAGGTGCAGCTATATTAGGAACTGTCAAAGTAAGGCATGTCAGGGAAAGATTTATGTCAAAGAACAAAAGTGATCAAATAAAAAAGTGGACGGTATTCTGCCACTCAGAGAAAGGCAATGCCAGAAGCAGACTTCAAGGGAATAGCAGGTTTGTGAGTCTCTGAAGTCTTTTGTGTTTTAATATATGGACAACAGGAGTTGTCCATATCTTTAGTGAGTGGCAAAGTGATCGGTTCCAGTCTTATAAAAAAGGTGTTTATGTCTGTAGAGAGCAATTCCATTTTTCCTTATAGCTGTCTCATTTCTAGTGCATGAAGTGTGGTGAGAATGTGGAGAGCCGTATACCATTACCTGCCTGTGGTCACTAACATAACATGTGCAGGTGGACAAGGAGATGAGTTATTGTGGTGGGAAAAGGACATTTGTCTTCCTAGCCTGAAAAGTGATTTTAGAAGATGACAATATCTGGATGGATGGAAGTGCTGTTGCGTTACCCATGCTCTGAGCTGAGTGAGCAATAGGGCCAGCCTGAAAGCCATATTGTACAAAAATGTATGAATATCTTCTTATGTATAAGGTCATTTGCTCAAGAGATCATGTGGCTTAAGTGCTATTCTCAATCAACACATAAGAGTCAATTTTTTTTAAATTTCAGAATTCAGGAAATAAACCCAAAAGCTGTGGGATATGGTTTTGAGCTATTTTGAGAGCTTTGGTCTCTAATTTGTTGGCTGAAACTGGGTTAAGAATTAACCCCTCTCCTGTGCTTGAAAAGACTGACACTGCATTTCAGACTGCTGTGATTTTACAGAGGCACTCTGAGTACTGAGGCACAGAAAGAGGAAAATTGTCATTTTCATGAAGATAGCAGAAAGGTTTGAAGCCAAATCACAGCTATTACCCACACCCTATCAAAAAAAGACCAGTAAGCAAAAAATAGGGAACTTCATATGCCTTCTAGCATATGAAATCAATTGATAACTGTTTGACTGAAAACCTGAATGTAAGAGCACTGCCAAATTAGCAGCAAGGTCTATTATAACCCCCACATCACACCTTTTCTTCTTTCCCACATGTTAGTCAATCACCTCTCAGTTCCCTCATACAAACCTAGCTTGTCTACCTGCAAATAGAAATGAGCTTCAAAGCTCAGACTGCTGTTGTGAATATCCATCCACACTGTTCAAAGGCAGTCCTCTCTTCTTTTTCACGTCAGAGGCAAATTGAAGTTGACTTGCTTTGATTTTCTTAGTCTAGACTGTGTTTGCACCAACCTGAAATTAATTTATTTTCCTGTTCAAAGGTTTACTTACACTCCAGACAAAGGCCCAACATTGTGCCGAATCCTGACAGCAGCTACTGCTCTGCCTATCCATTTCCATCCTTGCCTGGCATGCACAGCTCTCACTGGGGCAGATGGAGTATGTTGCCTGTTGGGGAAGAGACTTCTCTGTAGCAATCACAGAATACCATCTGGGCACCCTTACAAATAGCTTGCATCTCAGTATAATATTTCTAAATGCTATTCAAATACCATTCTGGAAAATGCCATACCCCTCCAATGCCTTGGTCAGTTCACCTAGCACTTACAGTAACCTCTCAGTGAGCCCCGCTGCATCAGAAAAGAGGTGGAGGTTCTCGCCAGGCAGAGTAATCTCAAACAGCCTCCTCAGGAAATTACTGATTATTCCCATGGCTATGGTTTTATTTGACTTGTGACATCAAAGTCTGTGTCATGCTAATGTACATGTTTAGTAGGACAAAACAATTCTCTTTGCTCTACGATGATCTAAAACAAGTTCATGAGAACAGCACTGATATTGTTTACTTACCTCCAAAGTGAGACACAGATAATCCTATTTATTGCCCTGCATGCACTAACAGGGTCCATGAGAGTTAAGAAAAAAATTAATGACAAGAGTGAGTCAGGTCTTTGGACCAGCACTCCTCTTCTGGGGGTCTGTAAGCTCACCAGACTACCTCCACACTTCCAGCTCACAGTTAACACATGGACCCTCAGTCAGCTTCAGCACCATCCCAGATTCTGTACATTAAATTACTGCCTGGTATATTTTATAGCCATTAATCTTATTCCTCATATTTTGCTTTTAAACACCTGCTCCTTCATTCCTGAAGAGTCACAAGCTGCCTGTCCACTGCAGGACAGTTGCTCAGTGAACACCAAGTGAGGCACAGAGGTACATGTGTCTCCTGGGATGCCCATATGGCCAAAGAATGCACACTGATCAAATGCTGTCAGCATGGTAGGGGTCTTTTTTGAGATGCTTGTTAGATGCACTTGTGCTAACTTTCCCAGTTCATGGAGATGAAGTGACAAAACCCCTGATTAAAAACCAATTACAATTAAAAGGACGTTTTTTTTCTAAGCTTAGGGTTTAGGATCATGAAACATATAAGCACTTTCCATTCTAGATACTTTCTTTGATTTCCTTGGCTCACATTGGAAATAACACATTTGAAGAGATGAAAAGAAGACTGAACATGGCCTGCTTCCCTGCTGCTGCTAAAGAAGGAGGGAGGAAAAGGGGTGAGGAACAGTCATCTGACCATCTGCTCCCTACACCCCTCTGTCCCCCAAAAGTGCCAGTTACAAAAGCTGCACTTAAGGACTTCCAGGGCACTACTGTCCCCCAAGAATATTATTCTCTAAACAGTGACAATAACACATCACTGGAAACAGTTACTTGGAGATAAGGAGCATAAGGACACAGTAATTGCTCAAGATTGGAGCAGGGAGCCAGGATCTAGCCAGGGGTGCTGGGACCTGTCTCGGAGGCAGGGGCTGGGGTGGGGACAGGCCTTCTCCATGCCCTTGTGCCAGGCTGAATCCAGCTTACAAACCTCCCCAAA